TTTTCTTGACTTATTGTTGTTTCTGGTGGGAGAGAAAATCCAGTCTGTTTCTTCATTTTGTCCAAGTTTTAAGTCATGAAGAGCGGGAGATTAGAGTTTTTAATACGTGTGTAAGAACCAGAAACAAGACTATAACACAATAATGGCCCCAACTGTAAATAGCAACTACCTATTAGCGGTAAATAAAAATGTGGTATATTAATATAAAGAATACTATAGTAACAATGAATAAGCTATAACTAAATGTAACATGACTAAATCTCACTGCCATACTGTCAAACAAAAGAAGCTAAACACAATAGGGTCTTGTCTAATGGGATTTTATCTGTATAAAATTTGAAGTTGAAGCCAGTACTGGTGGCTCTCACCTGTAGTTCTGAAAACAGGAGGATTGTAGCTCAAGGACATCCAGGTAGAAAATTTTGCAGACTTCGTCTTAGCCTATAGCTGCATCCTAGATGTGAGAGGAGGCTAAAATAGGGTTGAGGTATGTGGGCCTGGATAGGAAGCAAGACCCCGTCTCAAATATAACCAGTGTAAAAAGGACTGGAAGCTTTCTTGGTGGAGTGTTTGTCTAGCAAACAAGTATAATGCTCTATGTTGAAATGCTAGAATTACTCTCTACCCCCACCCTCCAAAAAAGACAATTGTAACTGATATAATTAGTCTTTTGGTATTAGCCAGCAGAATAGTAACTATCCTTGAAAAGAATAGTAAACAGAAGGAGACATGGCAAAAGTTTCTGGGGTTCTGGTAATGCTTTTGTTTTCATGATCTGAGTATAGATTATGGGGAGTTTCACCTTAGGAAATTGTTTAAGTTGTATACTTATGTGTGACTTTACAATATGTATATTATGTATCAATGAACGGTACCCCTTGCAACAAAAATGTCCAGGCTTCAAGCCACATACATAATAATAAAGTAGTACAACTGGATTCCCAATATAAAATCTGGACCCGAGATAGTGGGGTACTTGGGATCCTGTTCAATGTGTAGGTATATAGATAGGCTCAAGTTAACACTGCCTACCCACCACGAGGCCTTTTGAGACATGAGACCTCCATCAAATGGAGTGTTGGTCACATGTTGGAAGATATGACTGTGGATTGTTTTACAACACACTGGTCATGGCCAAGGGCATTATTTCTGTGTGTAGCAGGCAGTTGCTATATTCTTGCCCCATAACTGTGTTAACATCCATGAGCTTTGTAGGAAGTACTTATTCATCACCACCCACTCCTCATAAATCCACCCCTATACCTCATTAAGCCATTGTTGGTTGTCAGTGGCTAATTTGTCTCCTTATCATCCAGTCTATAGGATCGTATTTCATGAATATTGGGGCCAAGAGTACATTCAGTAAGTCCATGTTAAATAGTTATGCTGGGTGGTATGTGGGTGGTAGGCAGTACAAAGTCCGTATGTATTATGATTTAATGGACATTCTTTTATCATTTTGATGAAAGTATAGGTAATTTGTACAAAAAGGCTCTGTTAGCATTATTTAAAGCAAAACTGTATTCTGCAAAGCAGGATCTTATACCTTGGGGGAATATCATAAACTGAATAGGGGCATGTTATAAACTTTGGGGTATGGAAAAAGATACTAAAGAGAGACTGAGTAGAGATAAAGGGTAGGTAGGGTATGAGAGTCTCCCATTGCTGTCTGTCCTATAATGATTCTGAGTAGAAGTTTCACATATTCTACATTCGTTTCTCTTAAACCCAAAGTCTCCAACTTCATTGAGCCAGAATATGAATATCTATGATAAAATACTGCATTCTTGATATGACAAGCTCTTCAAAGGATAGAAGGTTTAGTTTAACATCTTAAAGGAAAAGGGAAAGAAGGGAAGAATACAATTCACTCTGAATTTTTACTAAAACATAAAAGCTACAGAGCAGTTTAGAACTGTTTTGATGTGTTTCACTGCTGCCACTGCTTTTAACCTAAATTGATCAACACATCATGTGACAGTTTTGAAACACTTTTTTGGCACTTACTGACCACATGATAAGAATTATAAGGATTAGACTTTCTTATCCTACTCTTCCAGTCTCAAACTCGTGATTTCTGTCTTGGTCTCTCATTCCCTCTCATGCATTCTGGGTGGTTTCTTCGAATGTAGCCTCCAGGTCTCTTTCACACTGTGTCTGCAGTCTTCTGAGTTCTGTGTGTTGAATTTCTCATAACAGCAAGCGTACCTTTCATTTCTAGACATTGTTTACTTATTTTTGTTTATTTTATCATAGCTGACTATTTTTTTCTCTCTCTCTCTTTTTTTCTCTTCAGCTTTGTTTAGGGCAAGTACTTTAGATTCTAGGCGCCAAGTCCACATGGTAGGGTGTTTTCCAGGAGTATTTTTTTTCCCTTGTATTCCACATCCATTAGGGTTGAATGTAAGTTAAAGTACACCTCTAATGGATGTTGGAGCTTCTGCTCTGACTTTCTGTGAGTTTATTTTTATATAAAGCTCTCACAACAGATTTCTTCTCATGCTAACATCAGGCTTTTCTGTATGGCCAGGACACCCAGATAAGCAAGCAGGAGTTGTTCCCTAAGAGCCCAATAATGTATTAAAGATAAGCTTTTTGGATACTTGAATTTTAAAGGAAGGGAGAAAATTTTATATATATATATACACACACACACACACCTACTCTGTGTGTATTTATGTTTCCACTTGTATATACATTTAAAAACGCTGACAGGGTAAGAAGGACATTAATACTGCTGGGGAGATAATGAATGGAACAGAGTAGATGAGAGGTTGGGTGACAGGGAAAAAAAACTTATTTCATGAGAACCTCATAATACTTTTGTGATCTCAACCATGTTCAGTTAAATGTTTGATACAATTTTGGGGGAAAGGGATGGGGGTCCTTTAGCAAGTCAGATGGCCTAGACTTGGGTTAGTTTTCTCCAGACATCCGGTCTGCTATTTTATTTGAAACAGGAGAGTGATCAATTTTGTAGTTAAGTTTTAGATCCTGGTTTTGCCTCTGTGCAGCCCTGTACAGATGAACTTTTCAAACTTTCCGAGAAACAATGAGTTCCTTAAACTTTTCTAGTCTACCATGGACTGGATTGATAATTTGGAAAAATAAGTTGCTGGTCATATATGCTTGGGTGTTCAGATAAAGTCAATTTCTTTTATTTCTTTTTAATTTTTAATTTATTGTTTATTTTTGTGCCTGTCCTGGGGCTTGAACTTAGGGCCTGGTCACTGGCCCTTGAGCTTCTTTTGCTCAAGGCTAGCACTCTACCACTTGAGCCACAGCACCGTTTCTGGCTTTTTCTGTGTATGTGGTACTGAGGAATTGAACCCAGGGCTTCATGCATGTTAGGCAAGCACTTTACCACTAAGCCACATTCTCAGCCCCCTGTCAATTTCTTTTAATTGCCAGCCAGTAAGTAGCAACTGGTAGACCAGTTCATACTCTTTAAGTGGCACTCATGGATGATGTGCCATTGTTTTCTGACATTTGGTGCTGGGTTCAGAAGTTAATGCTCACCTTTTCTTTATCAATTTAAGGGTTTGGGGGTTTGTTGTTGTTATTGTTTTCAATTTTAGGCAACCTGTTTACTTCAGTGAGATGTGGTGGGGTCAGAAACATTAGAGGTTTGCAGTTTGTCAGTTGCTGGGAATGAGCCTGCAGCTGACTGCTCTAGAGGTTGATACTGACGCCCTGCCAGGACTTCTGCAGAGATTTATAGTGAATCAGAGGTGTGCTGAGTGGGTGTTTTTGGATCTCCTGGAAGGTCTCCTCAGTTGGTTTTTACAATACCAACCAGGACTGCCATCTGGTTGGCAGCCAATCCCAAGATGCTATTGGCTTTGAAGATGTTAAAATGTGGAGAAACATGTGTCTTAGAAAGTCTTGCAGATGGAGCCATGATTATTCTAGCTTCTAATTACTATTGGATGCTTGGAGTTGTACTTACAAGATGCTCTTGCAATGTACTTAGGAGAAGAAGGAAGGAAGGCTTTTATGAGCTCTTTTAGAAACTTTTTCTCTCTGTCAAATGGCATCTCTCACTTTGACAGCCTGATGATAACCGGGATGCCTTCCATCTTCTCTGATGGGCTGAGCGGTCCTCATTAAGGTCTCTGCTGGAGCAGCTGTGGAGTGGACCAACAGTTTATTCTGCAAACTGGCAGCACTGGTATATCTTCCAGGGTCACTAACACACATTTTTCACATCATTGACATTCTTTCTTTTATGTTTAACCTCGGGTTTTTTTCTATCTTTGCCCTTCTGGGCTTATTTATTCCATCTTACTGCTTCCATGTTTTGGTGGCATATTGATCTGGACTACTTAGTATAAAAAATTCTCAAAAAAGTTGGCTCATTACCCTTCTGTATTTTACTGGGCTGATGAGGGGTTTTATTTATCTATGTAGTTCTCTGGCCACATTGATGGTAATATTTGTACTAACAAATACCTACCCTGGAATGCCTCTTCCGTGCCAGCATACTTCCTAAGCACAGGGCACAGCAGTAAACAGTAAACAGTCTACGTGGAAGTTCTCATCTTCATGAGAATATTCATTCTGCTTAGTTCCTGTTTCCCTTGAACTAGAAGCTTACTTGACTTGGTTCTACTTGCCTTCCTTTTTCAGCTTTTAAAAACCTCAAATTAAGCTGGGCCCTCGTGGCTCAGACCTATCATCCTAGCTACTTAGGAGGCTGAGATCTGAAGACTGTGGTTTTTAGCCAGCCCAAGCTGCCCATGGGACTTTTTTTTAAATCTCCAATTAACCAGCAACAATCCAGAAGTGGAGCTGTGGCTCAAGTGGTAAAGCATGGAGCAGAAAAAATGCTGAGGGACAGCTCTATTACTACCCCCTAGATAGATAGATAGATAGATAGATAGATAGATAGATAGATAGATAGATAGATAAAATTTCAGATTACCATTTAGTGATTTATTAGATGGCATGTGCTGTATGTTGGATCTCTATAGATGATTTGCGTGTCATTTGCTTTTCAGGCGATTACACCTCAACAAGAAGGCAACAGACAAACAGCCATATAGCAAGCTCCCGGGTGTCTCTCTCCTGAAACCACTGAAAGGGGTAGATCCCAATTTAATCAATAATTTGGAAACCTTCTTTGAACTGGATTACCCCAAAGTAAGTACAATGTGAACTCCTGAGGGGAGAGGATATGACCTCACTGGAAATTCTTAGAAAATGTACTACCCTATGAGGTGAAGGTGTAGAAAAATTTAAGCTTTAATTGAGTCATTAGAACTGCAAATAGGGTGCCTTTCTTACCATCTGTATGTCAGATTCCCTGAGTAAACTTCCTGGAACTTTCAGACCCTATCAAGTGCTGGAAGTATGAATATAAAAAAAAAAATCTGTGTGGGCTGGGAATGTGGCTTAGTGGTAGATTGCTTGCCTCGCATGCATGAAGCCCTGGGTCCGATTCTTCAGTACCACATACACAGAAAAGGCTGGAAGTGGCACTGTGGCTCAAGTGGTAGAGCGCTACCCTTGAGCACAGAGACACTCAGGGACAGTGTCCAGGCCCTGAGTGTAGGCCCCAGGACTGGCTCCCTCCCCGCAAAAAGTCTGTGAGAGTCATACCTGAAGATTAGAACAGGGAAGGCACCAGTGAGGAAAGTGCTCAATGGTCTGAGATGGGCTGCCAGGCAGCTGGATGGAAACAGGAATGTCCTTGAGAAACTGGTATTGAGCCAGGACAATAGGTTACATTTAATGTCAGGATATTTCCTCTTGCTTAATTTCTCTTTCTCTGTTCTGATTTGTAATGCATGATTTTATTGTTCATACCACTTATCTGTCTCATGACCTATATATACATCTATAAACTCAGTGGCCTTCCTGTACTAGAGAACTTCCTGTTTTCTTGAGATGAAAGTATTCTTTTTATAGTTTCCCCTTTAGTGTTTCATCTCTAGTTTCTTGGAAAAACTTGCTGGTACTGGAGCTTGAACTCAGGATGTGGGTGCTGCTGCTCAAAGCTGTGCTCTACCACCTGAGTCACAGATCCACTTCCCACCTTTTGCTAGTTAGTTGGAGATAAGTCTCACAAACTTTCCTGTGCAGTTTGGCTTTGTACCCAAATCCTCAGATCTCAGTTTACTGAGTAGCTAAGATTCCAAACATGAGCTACTAGCACCCAGCTTTAAATTTTATAATTTTAGAGATTTGAATTCAAGGCTTATATTATTTATTGAAATAAGATATTAAAAATAAGAATATGGAATAGCACAGATTTTTTTCACACTCAAATTGTAAACATGGCCTTTTATAGTTAAGAAAGAACAATGTAAATAAAATTATAATATAAACTTTGCCATAAGAAAAATGGAAGTTTTTCAAGCCCCATAATATATAGGAAGATGCAGAGGAAAGTAAATCTTAGAACATAGCTTAGAGTTATCTGCATTTATTATGGTAGAATGCAGTTTGATTGCTTCGCTTCATAACCATCTTCAACAGTCACTTTTCTGCTCCAGCCCTTATGATTCTGCAATCAAGAGGTTTAAATAGTTGAGGTGGTTACTACAGGTTTTAATTAAAGAGTTTTGTAAAAAAAAAATAACCCCAAGAACATATATATCCAATAATTATGTATATTTAAGAGGAATCTGTAATTGATTCGTTCTAAATAAAGATTTTGTAAAGATTACATGACAGGATTATCTCAAGTTCTTTCCCCATTTTTGCTGTCATTGTAGCATTTCAGTTGAAGAGAAAGCTGTGACAATACTCATCATTAATTGAATAACAGCATATATTTTCAGATTATAAAAATATTCTTAGCTGTGTAACTAGCAGGTACTGCACTCTAAGGGAAGTTTTCTTTGTGTGCCAGTACAAGGACTTGAACTCAGGGCCTCTTACTCTCACTTGGCTTTCTCTCGCAGTCCTCCAGTTCCAGCTTTCTGCTGGATAATTGGAAATGAGTCTCACAGATTTATCTGCCCTGCCTGCCTTTGCACTAGGATCCTCAGATCTCAGCCTCCCCAGTAGCTAAGATTACAAGGGTGAGCCATTGGTGCCTGGCTTAAGAATCTTACCACATTTTACTTGATTTGGGGGTGGGCAGGATAGAGGAGGGGGCAAGAGCAAGATGAAAGGTTTATGGAACCATGCCAACAGTATGCACAGAATAAGCTCACATCCAGTGCACTTTATGTTTATTTTTTGTTGGGTGTGAACATCACTTTACAAAAAAGCATATCTGGGCTGGGAAGGTGGCTCAATGGTAGAGCGCTTGCCTTGCATGCATGAGGCCCTGGGTTCGATTCCCCAGCACCACATAAGCAAAAAGAAAAAAAAAGCCAGAAGTGGCGCTGTGGCTCAAGTGGTAGAGCGCTAGCCTTGAGCTGAAGAGCTGAGGGACAGCGCCCAGGCCCAGAGTTCAGGCCCCACGACTGGACCCAAAAAACAAAACAAAACAAAAAGCATATCTTCCTTCATTCTGGAGATAACTTTTTCTTCTGTTATTTTATTTGTCACATCCAAAGCCACTTGGGGAAAAAGAAAATAGAACTTATGTTGAGGTTTTCCAGTTGTATTTAATTTTGGACCTGAACAAGAATGTTTACCACTGGTAGCCTACAGTTAATTTCTAGCCTATTTCTATGCTAATTTCCCTGATAGATTTCTATGTGGTATAAGTATATCTTATTAGCCTACCTTTATATTGACACATGTCTTTTAAGTGAGAAAATGACACAGGTCATTTTTATAAAGTTGAATGTCACTTGGTATCAAATATAGGAAATATTTGGGTAGATCTAGTAAAAGATTCTGAAAGTATTTCACTTCAATAAATTATTAAGACTTTTGGAACTAATTGTCAGGGTTACTAACAGGTTAGAGTCATTGGGATTTTTTTTCTTCATCTTTGCAAACATAGTTACTTTAAAATGTTAAAGTCTAGAGCCATGTTTTGGATTCCTCACTATGAGCATTTTAGCTATGCCTATCAGGAATTTTTTTCCAACCAACGAATTTTCTAACAATAAATTAAACTGAAAAATACAGTTGGACACTAATGGCCCACATCTGGAATCCTAGCTACTCAGGATGCTGAGATTTGAGGATCACAGCTAGCCTGGGCAGGAAAGTCTGAGATGCTCCAGTTAACCAACAAAAGGCAGGAAGTGGAGCTATAGCTCAAGTGGCAGACCTCCAGCCTTGGGAGAAAAAGCTAAGGGACAGTGCCCAGGCCCTGAGTTCAAGCCCCCACACTAGCAGAAGAAAATAAAAATAATAAAATAAAAACTAGGATGAGTTGAAAGACAGAGCACAAGTGTTGTTGATACCCGTAATAAGATGAAGATTGTTAAGATTTTATCAAATACATTTAATAAACCATGTAAACTATCTAGTGCTTGCAAATAGATAATGAATATACATTATTACCTTTCAAAACTTGGAATTTAGAATTTTCTTTTTTTTTTTGGGTCCGGTAGTGGGGCCTGAAATCTGGGCCTGGGCACTGTCCCTCAGCTCTTCAGCTCAAGGCTAGCGCTCTACCATTTGAGCCGCGCCACTTCTGGCTTTTTTCTTTTTGCTTATGTGGTGCTGAGGAATCGAACCCAGGGCCTCTGGCATGCAAGGCAAGCGCTCTACCCTTGAGCCACCTTCCCAGCCCTGGAATTTAGAATTTTCTTATAAGTTATCCCTTTCCTATGATCCTTCCCTTATAGAATTTATATTCTCTTATAGACTGTTACAAAGTTTTTGTAAACCTGATGTGTAGTTACTTATGAATAATAGCTGAAGATGTTTCAGAATATTGTTACTTGATGTACAATTATGATAATTAATATCATAAAACACTTTTAAGTCTGAGTCCAGTGGCTCAAGCCTGTAATCCTAGCTACTCAAGAGGCTGAGATCTGAGGATCGAGGTTCAAAGCCAGCTGAGACAGGAAAGTCTGTGAGACTCTTATCTCTTAACTACAAAAAAAAGCCAGAAATGGCACTGTGGCTCACATTGGTAGAGCACTAGCCTTGATCACAAAAGCTCTGGGATGGTACCCCAGGATGGACACACACACACAAAAGAAAGCTTTTTTTCAGGGTTGAGATTGTAACTCAGGGATAGCATGTTTATCATGTGCATGGCTCTGGTTTCAGTTCTTAGTTCCCCTGGGGGCAGGAGGGGGGAGGATTCTTTTTTAAAAGTTTATTTTAGCCTTTTTACTCTAATAAAGCATCTACAGGACTAAATCAATGAGGATATAAATTTTGTTGGTGGTGGTGGTGGTGTTCACGGGGCTTGAACTCTGGGCCTGGGTACTGTCCCTCAGCTCTTCAGCTCAAGGCTAGCGCTCTACCACTTGAGCCACAGCGCCACTTCTGGCTTTTTTCTTTTTGCTTATGTGGTGCTGAGGAATGGAACCCAGGGCCTCATGCATGCAAGGCAAGCACTCTACCACTGAGCCACCTTCCCAGCCCCAAGTATTAAGTTCTTTAGTCATCAAGGGGCCAAGTGTTCTCAGTTTGGGGATTTTTTTTTAATTTTTTGATTATTACCTATCTTGTTCTCAGCCTTTTAGCCATTTCACTATTTGAAAAGAAAAAGAGAAATTTATTCTGGTTAGCTAATTGAATAGCAGTCTTATTCAAGATTTGATAGAAGGCTTTCTCCCTAGATTAGAGTTTATGATTTCTGTATTTGAATTATGCTCATTTAGAGTAGATGTTATTTATCGCTTAAATGCCTTTGTCACATATATAAATCTACATATCTTATACAGTATGTACTTTATATGTTTGCAACTATTTCTGGCCTAATTTGATGCTATAGGATGTATTTGGTCTGTCTTTCCTGTTCCCTCTGCTTGCAAACAGACACCTGTTCTGGAAAAGTCCCTCTTCATCTAAGCAACCTGTTACCTTCAGTGTTGAGTGTTAGATATATTATAGATACTCAGACTTTGTGTACTCATACAGTTGCTTGTTTTCTTTAAATTTTTCAATCAATCTGTAAATCCAAGTGCTTATATTTTTAAGAGCACTTAATGTAAAATATTTTCTTTGACTAGTATGAAGTACTCCTTTGTGTACAAGATCATGATGATCCAGCCATTGATGTATGTAAGAAGCTGCTTGGAAAATACCCAAATGTTGATGCTAGATTATTTATAGGTAAGTAACAAATAAGATCTGCTTTGATAGTCTTAAGTGTCAGGAAATCTTTCCTGACTTACACTGTAGATAAGGGCATTTTTAAACTATCACCAGTGAAACAGTTAAATTTTACAATCAGACATATGAGTGTTCTTTTTGGTTCTTTAATATTTTCAGTATGTAGCCTATTCTCTGAATTATTTATAGTAGTTACAAGTAAGCAGTAGATTTCACTTGTATTATATTGCAGAAAGTATTTTAGGGGGAAGTTTACAGGTTTATTTCAAAAACGTGCAGAGATGCATTTGCCTTTAGGTAGGCCTAGTACCACATCCCAGCCCCGTTGTTAAAAATATATACCTGATAAGAATTCTCAACTCCACACTAATGGCTAATTTCTCTATGTTGTCTTAATTACCATAGCTCCAAAATGAGTTCTATACATTTTTATCCCGATCACTTTTTTAAATTGGCAAATAAAATGTGTACATCTTTATGCTTGCAGCATAACATTTTGAAACATGTACATTATAAATAGCTAAATTAAGTTAATTAACCTATACATTAGTTTGTATATGTGTTTGTGGTTAAAAATTTTTTTTCCTCTTAACCATTTTCAGCTATTCAACATATGTTTACTGTAACTAGAGTCATCATGCTGTGCAATTGCCATTGAACAATGATTCACATTTATTGTTAATGTGGTAACTTTAAGAATTAGGAAATTAGTTGGGTACCAGTGCCTTGTACCTGTTATCCTAGCTACCAGGGAAGCTGAAATCTGAAGATTGCAGTTTGAAGCCAGATGGGCAGGAAAGTCTGTGTGACTCTTATCTCTAATTAACCAGCAAAAAGCCAGATGTGGAACTATGGTTCAAGTGGTACAGTGCTAGCCTTTAATGATAAAACTAAGGGAAGCCCCCAGGAGTGGCAGAAAAAGAAAAAAAGAATTAGAAAACGAGACTTGAATTTTCAGAGGTAAATAGAATTCTCTTTTGGGGAATAACTTTTTTCTAGATATATTATTGTGAATGAAAAAGAATGTAGAAGATATATATTATTATGAATGAAAAAGAATATAAAAGATGTGATATGAAAATGTCTGTTTAAGTGATTAAATATGAAACCCTTTACACTCCTTCCTGCCATGTATCTTTATAATAGAAAGTATTGTCATTATATTACATATCCTGTTGTGCCTTTATATTTTTAGGTGGCAAAAAGGTTGGCATTAATCCTAAAATTAATAATTTGATGCCAGGATATGAAGTTGCAAAGTATGATCTTATATGGATTTGTGATAGTGGAATAAGAGGTGAGGTTTTTTTCTTATTTATTTTATAAAACTGTTCATTTTATGATAAAATGCCAAAATCAGAAGTTTACCAATCTTGATTATTTGCCTAGTAAAGTCATGGTACTATATCCACCTCTACTTTCTAAGATTACTGTTTTTTAGAATATTGTATTATTATTAAAGTATTTCATTTTTAAGAGAAAATTTTAACCATTAGAAAAATAATCTGGTCTATTGTCCGGACTACAAACCATCATGCATGTAACTTTCCCCTTATTTGTGTGACACTAGCTTTTTGCTTAAATCTAATACACTAACCAGGGACTACTCAAACGGGACAAGATCAATAAGTACATGATTTCCTGGGTGGAATATTTCTATTAGGATTTATGTATGTCTTTTTACTTAGGTGATTTTAACAAGAAGCCTTTTATATTCAGAAATGATCATTTGCATTTTTAAACACTTATACTTACATTAGCTTATTTAGTGCTTTGTTATTGTTTTAATTACCTTCAGTTTCTCAACGTCAACACTGTTGGCATGGGCCTGATGGCATTTCTTTTGTCATGACTTCCCCATAGGCTATGTTAAACCATCCTTGCCCACTAGCACCTCCATCTCAGTTGGAACACCCAAAAAGGTCTGCAGGCATTCTTTGTAGAGAGGAATTGCTTCTGATTCAGAACATTGACCTAGATCTAATACTCTGGGCACCAGTGGCTCATGCCTGTAATCTGTTACTCAGGAGGTTAAGATCTGAGGATTGTGAACCTGACAGACAAATACAAGAGGCTCTTATCTCCAACTGACTTATCTCCAATTAACCAAGAAAAACTAGAAGTGGAGCTGTAGCTCAAGGGGAGAGCACCAGCCTTAAGTGAAAAAGCTAAGCAGGAGTCAAGAGACCCTGAGTTCAAGCCCTAGAATTGGCATTAAAAAAAAAAAAAGCAAGGGGGAAAAAAAAAAGCTGGGCACTAGTGGCTCATGCCTGTAATCATACCTGCTCAGGAGGCTGAGATCTGAAGATCACACACCCAAGTAAGGATAAAAGGAAATAAGAAATTAAGTAAGACACATAAAATAAAATAATATCCTACTCTTACTATTCGAAGACAAGGCAATGATTTAAAATTTTTCATTACCTTGAGATGCAGCTTTGAAAATTATTAGTTATTGTAAAAATATTGTAACAATCATCTTAACTTGTTACTGTCAAATACTTGTCAAGTCTTTCAGTGTACAAATTTCAGTGAAATAGAGTGGTATGTTCCATTAGCAATTCTGTAAGTCTGGAGAAGTGGCACTTACTTCCTGTGAGTGAAGAGTTGAGATAGGAACTGAGGCCCTTTGACCTCAACTTCTGAACCTTTTCCTCCAACACATCATTCTGATTCCAAGTCGAGCTCTGACACAGGGTAACAGTTTCAAGGTGCACCCTGCCTCTAGCACGTCTTAGGTATATTCTAAGCTCAAAACTTTGCAGAGTAAACTAGCTGAGCAACACAGGATTTGAAAATGGTGTATTCTACTCCAAAAACTGATGAAATATGCATACTGAAATTTACTTTTATGACACCTTAGTAATTATTTTTATAATAACCTCATACTTTTTATATTAACATGCATTTTGCTAAAAATAACTTTTTCTCTCTTTTCCCCCACCTGGTTGTTTTTTTTGTTTGTTTGTTTGTTTGCTTTTTGTTTTTAATTTCAGTAATTCCAGACACGCTAACTGACATGGTCAATCAAATGACAGAGAAAGTAGGCTTGGTTCACGGGCTGCCATATGTAGCAGACAGACAGGGCTTTGCTGCCACATTAGAACAGGTGAGCGGGCTGGTTGCACGTCATGTTCACATTTCTAGCTCCATCCTCTAGAGGCTTTAGACTATGGGATTGGCTACGGATGTTTACTGTGCCTGACATCTTGAAGGGGGTGAAGCAGCTGTTCTCATTCCTGAGACAGCCCTTTGGCCCCTGGGTTCCCTTCACTGTTGAATGGAGCTCAGCCTGGTGACCTTCACACAATGAAATGTGTTGTGGTTCGCTTGCCAGCTGGACACAGGCTAAACACTGCAGTTCTACAAGTTCGCTCTAGATGTACTGACATAAAAGAATATGCTAACTGGGCCAGGCACCTCACACCTGTAATCCTGGCTACTCAGGAGGCTGAGATCGTGGTTCAAAGCCAGCCCGAGCAGGAAAGTCCATGAGACTTTTTTTTTGGTCTGGTCATGGGCCTGAACTCTGGGCCTGGGCGCTGTCCCTCAGCTCTTCACCTCAAGGCTAGCACTCTACCACTTGGAGCCACAGCGCCACTTCCAGCTAGGAATCGAACCCAGGGCCTCAGGCATGCAAGGCAAGCACTCTACCATTGAGCCACCTTCCCATCCCCAGTCCATGAGACTTTTATCTACAATAAACCACTCAGAAAACCAGAAGTGGTGCTGTGGCTCAAGTGGTAGAGCACTAGCCTTGAGCTGAAGAGCTCAGGGACAGTGCCCAGGCCCAGAGTTCAAGCCCCATGAGTTACCCCCCCCCCAAAAAAATAGGATAACTTTCTTATAAAGAGTCAAACTGATTGTTTAAAAAAACTTTTTATATATCATGTAGTACTTCAGTGTAAATAATTATTCATGCAAGTCCTTATACTGAATCCATCTAAGTCTAGAGTGTGTGCACGTATGTGCATATGCTGGTACTGGAGCTTGAACTCAGAACCTGGTACTGTCCCTCAGCTTTTTCACTCAAGGCTGGCACTCTGCTACTTGAACCACAGCTCCGGTTCCTGCTTTGGGGTGACTAATTAGATAAGTCTCTCAGATCTGTGATATTGGACTGGCTTCAACCACAATCTTCAGATCTCAGCCTCTTGAGTAGTTAGGATTACAGGCATGAACTGGAATGTTGTTAATAATCAGAGATGATTATTTTGTGTTTTCCTTTCAGCCTTTTATGTTTGGGGGTTGATTATTTTTTGTCTGTTTTTGTGGTCCTGGAGATTACTCTCAGGGTTGTGTATACGCTAGCAAATGTTCTGTCCCAGAGCAACATCTCCAGGCCTATGAATTCAACTTATAAATGTTAACTTGTGCTAAATTATAAATTTTAGAAAAGTACTCAAGGCAGTACATAAATTCATACCCCTACTAGCTAGAAGAAATAATTTTACAGCCTAAGATTTTGTTTCTGTCTGAACATTTTGGCACTTGGGATCCTAGTACTTTTCCTATACTTACCAAAAAAATATAGTTGGGAGCCAGGCACCTGTGTCTCAAGCCTGTAATCATAGCTACTCAGGAGTCTGAGATCCAAGGATTGTGGTTTAAAGCCAGCCTGGGCAGGACAATCCATGAGACTCTTTTCTCCAATTACTCAACAAAAAGCTGGAAGTAGAGTGGTTGCTCAAGTGCTAGTGCTAGCCTTGAGCAACAAAGCTTGGGGACAGCTCCCAGGTCCTGAATTGGAGTCCTAGGACCAGTGTGCGCATGCCACATAGACGCATGCACGCCCCTATGTATGCCAGCCCACACAAGAAATTTGAGAGTCCATCTCAACCAATGGCTGGGTGAGGTACACTGGAGATCAGGTTGTGATGATTCAAGGCCAACCAGACATAAAAAATTCTCAAGCCATCTCATTTGATGGCTGGCTGCAGTGGCACATGCCAGTTATCCAAGTTATGGAGGAAGCAGTGACAGGATGCAGTGGTAAGTGCCTGCCATTTCTAGTTGCATGGGGAAGTACAAGGAGGAGGATCACAGTCCAAGTTGGCTTGGGCATAAAGCAAGACTCTTAACTCAAGAATCACCAATGGAAAAGCGGGCTGGAGACAAGGCTCCTCAAGTAGCAAAGCATCTGCCTAGCAAGTGCAAGGTCCTAAATTTAATCCCCAGTACAGAGGTTGGGGCGGGGGTAACTATTTCTCTTTTAGTCTCTGTCTTTATCTCCCTTTTGGGGAGAGGTAGGGCTCCAGACAGCTTGAGCTAGAACTGACAAATCCTCCTGCCCTCTATCTCCCAAGTGCCGGGATTAAAGCCATGTGCCACTATATCCTGCCTGCATGTAAATAACAAGTGTAGCCAACCAAATAAATTACTAACTGCCTGTTATACGTAAGCACAATTGTGTGCTACTTTTTATTTGGGTAGGTTAGATAAAAACAATAGGATATTTACTCAAATTATATTTAAAGAGAATTATTAGGAAGAAGCTTTATAAGCACCATACTTTTAACATAAAGTTCTAACAGTATACATTGGTGGGGTTTTGGGGGCAGGTGTATTTTGGAACTTCACATCCAAGGTCCTACATCTCTGCCAATGTCACTGGTTTCAAGTGTGTGACAGGAATGTCCTGCTTAATGAGGAAGGATGTACTAGATCAAGCAGGAGGACTTATCGCTTTTGCTCAATACATTGCTGAAGATTATTTCATGGCTAAAGCAATAGCTGACAGGTAAGAAGACAAAGTTAAGCCCACATATTTGTAGTACCTAACTGCTATTGGTCTGTTCATTGTATTCAAACCATGTCTTAGGACTAAAGGCGTGACTCAAGTGGTAGAACATCAATCAAGGACTTTTTTTTTAATAATACTTTTCGTTAGTAGGTGCAGAGTGATTTTGGCAAAACAGTTTGTATTAAATATTCATCGACGTGTACTAGTGGAGCAAATCCATTTACCTCTATTCAAGTTAATGTGGTTTGAAGGGATTGAAAGGAAGTGTGTCTGCGGTCATGCATTTTCATTAGTATCAATGTGAATCTCAGTGTGTTTTTGAAGAACTAAAGCTACTCATCATCAGCCCTAAGGAGGTGAAAAATTTTTAAGTATCATTTCAGAATTTGAAATTCTCGGCACATTCTCTGGTGCTTTGCTAGTAAACCACTTAATGAGTCTTGTGGTTGACATAGAATTTTACCATCACAAAGATTTGTTTGATTTTAAGAGATCACTTGTCTTATACCATCATTTAAAAAAAGCACGATTAACAAAAACAAAAGCAACAAACATATTTTTAAGAGTTCTCCCTTAAGGGAATTGATGGTGGTTGACTGTGTTCAGTGAAATAACCTTTTGTTTACATTTTTGTGCTGAAGCACACATTCCTTTTGCAGGGGGCATGGAGAGAAGGTTGGTTTCAGTGGTCAGAGAAGAAACTATTAGATCTAGAACCCTCTCCATGAGGGTTTTCAGAATGATCGTACTTTTTAAGTTTCTGAAATTGTGGTGTTCCTTGACGTTTGTAGCTGGAACACCTTAGGCCAATGTAATGATTACTCAGTCCTGGGAACAGGGCTTGAGCTGGCTCTCAGAAGTTGCTTACTTGTAGTGATTAAGGATCGCATACCCGTGAGGCTTGCATATGTTTGTGATGTTAGATCAGTTTGTAATTACCTTCCTTTGCAGAGGATGGAGGTTTGCAATGTCCACTCAAGTTGCCATGCAAAACTCGGGTTCCTACTCAATTTCTCAGTTTCAATCCAGGATGATCAGGTAACTAATTGTCTCCTTTTCACATTTATGTTAAAAGGAAAGTGGTGAGGAGAGGGTAATTTTTATATGTTCTAATATAGTTCTGAAGTACACCTAAATGTCAGGGTATTTTTGTTTAGGTCCAGAAAATAAAGTTTTAAGTTCAGTTCTGTATTCAAGTAAATTAAATCTCAATCTCTTTCCCTTTCTGTCCCCCCACCAGCCCCCGCCCTCTTTCTTTCATGTGTGTATGTATAAAAAAAAATTTGGTACTGATACTGGGTCTTGAACTCAAGGCCTAGGAACTGTCCCTTAGCTTTTTTGCTCAAAACTGGAGCTCTACTACTTCAGCCACAGCTTCACTTCCGGCTTTTGGGTAGTTACTTGAAGATCAAAGACTTTTCCTACCCAGGCTGGCTTTGAACTATAGCCCTCAGATCTCAGCCTCCTGAATAGCTAGGATTATGGGCATAAGCACTGACACTCAGACAAGAATTTCCTTTTTTCAATATACATATTGAATATATATATGATATATATATATATATGTTGTGAACACTGAAATGTTTTAAAAAACACATTGAGACTTGAATTTTCATATGCTGACTTCTAATTTTTTAGCTTTACAGCTTTATTGAATTTTACAGTCTACTCATGTAGCATGTATCAATGAGTTTAAGACTTTTCCCTTTCATAGACTAAAAGTAGAGAATAGATTTGTAGAGCAAAGAATGAAGAAATAAATAATAAACCAGAAGTTTTTTAGGAAATTGATCGTTGGTTAGTCTTGTAACCAGACTGTTAATCTGAGGGGGAAAAAAAATCTTTTTTTTTTTTTTTAAGGTGGACCAAATTGCGAATTAACATGCTTCCTGCTACAATCATTTGTGAGCCAATTTCGGAATGCTTTGTTGCCAGTTTAATTATCGGATGGGCAGCCCACCATGTATTCAGATGGGATATTATGGTATTTTTCATGTGTCATTGCCTGGCGTGGTTTATATTTGACTACATTCAACTCAGGGGTGTCCAGGTATGTGGATAGCCATGGAAAGGTTGGTAGTTGTTTGGTAGAATGAAAACGCTTCTAATTTAGAAAGGTTGGAGCCATTCTTCAGTTTCTTACTGAAGGTTAATATTAGGGTGTTTTGTTTTCTACTGTACTAGGGGCTGAACTCAGGGTCATATGCTCACTAAGTGAACACTCTACCACTTGAGCTATGCTCCCAGCCTTTATTGTTGGTGATGATGCATTTGTTTGTTTGTTTGTTTGTCGGTCATGGGGCCTGAACTCTGGGTCTGAGCTCTATCCCTCAGCTCTTCAGCTCAAGGCTAGTGTTCTACCACGTGGGCCACAGCACCACTTCCAGCTTTTTCTGCTTATGTGGTGCTGAGGAATTGAACCCAGGGCCTCATGCATGCAAGGCAAGCACTCTACCACTGAGC